ACGGAGTATCTGGGGAGCTGGAAGATGAGAACTGGCGACTTTGTAGTACAACTTTAGTACGCGGAGCAATCTGTGGAGCTGGAAGCTGAGAACTGGCGACTTTGTAGTACAACTTTAGTGCGCGGAGTATCTGGGGAGCTGGAAGCTGAGAACTGGCGACTTTGTAGTACAACTTTATTACGCGGAGTATCTGGGGAGCTGGAAGCTGAGAACTGGCGACTTTATAGTACAACTTTAGTACGCGGAGTATCTGGGGAGCTGGAAGATGAGAACTGGCGACTTTGTAGTACAACTTTAGTACGCGGAGCAATCTGTGGAGCTGGAAGCTGAGAACTGGCGACTTTGCAGTACTACTTTAGTACGCGGAGTATCTGTGGAGCTGGAAGCTGAGAACTGGCGACTTTGTAGTGCAAGTTTTTTATACGCGGAGCATGTGGGCAGGTGGAAGATGAGAACTGGCGACTTTGTAGTACAACTTTAGTACGCGGAGTATCTGGGGAGCTGGAAGATGAGAACTGGCGACTTTGTAGTAGAACTTTAGTACGCGGAGCAATCTGGGGAGCTGGAAGCTGAGAACTGGCGACTTTGTAGTGCAACTTTAAGTACGCGGAGTATCTGTGGAGCTGGAAGCTGAGAACTGGCGACTTTGTAGTACAACTCTGGTACGCGGAGCAAGCCGTGGAGCTGGAAGCTGAGAACTGGCGACTTTGTACAACTTTACTACGCGGCTGAGTCATCTCTATGCTGTATGTTGCAAAAATGCATGAACAACGTTTTTTCCTGCGAGACAGTTGACCGTGGTTGCTTCGCTTTCGCTCCATTGGTCGTTTCCAACTTGGTTTGTCAAAGAACATCGCAGCTCGGCGAATCAGCCTGCCACATGCCCATTTCCTATAGGTTTATTCTTTTGGAAACTTCCGCCGCCGGCTTGCCCGGGAACTACTTGTATACACATACGTCGAGTTTGATGTTTGAGATGTTTCAACCAAATTCTATGAGTGAAAGCAGCTTGCCCAACAGGCTTGATTGCGCCGCTCTGCAGGGTGCATTTGAAGAGGCTTGTGCTGGCTTGCTTGATGATTTTCCCCTGTTCCCCCCATATGGTCCACATGTTTTTGCTGTCCGCCACTGTCCAACTCCAAGACGCTTGTTCTTGCAAGAGTGCGGGTAGCGGGCCTGCCAATGCAGAGGGAATGACAATAGATAAATAACGCCCACCGCCATCCCAGCCACGTTACTTTCTGTGCTGTTGCTTTCGATGAACACGTTGTAGAAAAGATATTTTGCTGGTTGGTTGGTTGGATCATGATGATCATGAAGCTGACCATGGTAAACCCGCTGCCGGCTGATCCTGGTCCACTGGCTGCGCTGCTGCCAGACACGGCCCGCGGTGGCCAATCTCGCACATGCACAATCTGCGCTGGGCTCTGCACAGCGGGAGACGGAGAAGCAGCTGTGTGGCCGCAAGAAGGGGTTTGTAGGATTTTGAGGAGCCCTGTGAGGAGCAGTCTATTCAGTGTTTTAAAAGCACGCTGAGGATTCTTGGACCAAAAGCAGGAGAAGTAGGCAACTACCAACTAACAACCACATGCCATCAACTACCTTGAACAGTCAGTGTGATGTTGGGGATTCAGGGAAGTGAAGACCAAGCCTTGGACTGTTGCAAGGTTAAATGCAAGCATATTGCGTCAGAAAAGTGACGCTTTAGCATTGAGCCTGAGCTGCAAAACTCTTGCTCTCCTGATGCGCATTTAAACCGATGTTGACTTGTACTTCGCTTTGGCACGGCTTATCCAACCATATGGAGATGACAAAACAAAATGAAACAAGAAATGAGTTTGCTGCGAAAGCCTTTCAGGAACGCCAGAGTAATGGAGATGGAGGGTGGGTGGACTGGACTCTTTGGCTGCTACTGCAACTTGAATTGGGTAATGTCGACGTTAGGGAACGTGGATGAGCAATGCGGTCTCGTGAATGCTGGGCATTCTGCGGGTTTTCTTGCACAGCCACACAGCCACAGACCCTCTAAGAGGTTTCAATACCAGATGAAAAGAAGTAACTGCCCCTTTGATGGTCCTTTATTAAAGAGGCCTGCCTTTACCTTTTTTCCGATTCTTGAGATGCAAAAGACGATTCCCTTTCTCATCCTTTCTCAACGCCGTTCAGTTCAATTGGCAGGACCGAGCAGACTCCTATTGTAGTTTGTATTCTTGTATTTTGAGATGTTTTGAAGTCTTTGGGAGTGACCTTAGCATCTGCTGCATGCTGCTGCACCCAACATGTCGGACCCGGTGTTTAAAGGTAAGCGGCGCCGGCCGCGGGAAGCCGCCAAGCCCGAGCTGTCCAGCCAGGCTTTGACACAGCGATTGTAACAAATAGCTTTGTTTTACTAGCAGTAATGGCCTCCAACCTAATAGCGCCACCTAGTAGTTTTTTGTTACTAATAGCTTGTTGCACCATTTGCCAGCGATTCCCTTTTGATGCCCACAACCAGAATCGTCCAGTGCCCCAGCTTTTCAACGTGCACCAAGCCTTGTGAGCTAGTGAACTGGCTTGTCTCCGCCAGTTGGACCCGCAGCAGATCCCTTCGGATGCGGAGCCCCAACCTTGGCATCTACGGATAGGCAAAGCATTTAGCTGAAGGATTGGTTTCGTTATGTTACACTCCAATGTAGGACAGGACGCCTTCCGACCAACGAATACCCTTGCTTAGAGTCCCAATGGCAGCCCCAAGGCGGCCCCGCGGGCAATCTGTTACCCTTGACGATGATTGAGGCAAGCTGTGTGTACTGGCGGTCGCGCATTCACTGAACAGCTTTGAATACAGAATACTGTATAATCTTTTGGGTGTGAAGCATGTAGCCTAGGCCCGTCCATGTTGATGTGCCAGGCCATTTGTGCAATACATTTATATACTGTAATTTTGATATTCGACCCCCCCCAGGGAGTTCCTTTAAGTGTCTTGGCGCCATTCTAGAATGTGCGTGACGAATACGTTTAGCCCTGCTCGAGGCGTTGGGTCACTATTGCAACTTATGCTGGATGCTTTGATTGGATCCATTGGAAGAGAGAGAGAGAGAGAGACTAAGAACAGAACCAACAGAACCAAAGCAAGTGTTGTGTGATCCAAAATGGTTCCAACAAGTTGTTATTGGAATCTTGAACGTATCCAGCTCAAATGTTTCTTTTTGGATCTCGTTGTATCAACGAATCCTGCTGTGAACTCCACTGCCGATTGTGCAGTGGTGAAATAAATCTGAACGACAAAGGCCTCCATACAAAGAGATTGGCCCAGAAAAAAAACGCACCTCCTTGTGGCTTGGGTCAAGACGGCCCATCCCGGAATAATCTTTACCGAATAGAACATGTGCTCGAGCTTGGGAAAGGTATGTTTGTACTGTAGCCCTGCTACCCAACCCTCCAGCCACAAATTGCGGCATCATCAGAGGATGTCCCTGACAGAAGGATTGCATTGTGTAGGTGATACGTTTAGGATCGTTTAGGTATTGTTCCGCCTTTCGAGCACTCGTTCTTTGTGAAGATGTTGATGCACGTGTCTACAGATGCGAGAGTTTGCGCAAACAGACGCTAGGCGGATTGCTCTCTTGACCATTCACATTTAGGTTTGGTACATTTTGGTACTGCACTTTGAGATCTTCACGTTTGCAATTTCTGAAAACGGTTTGACCCGTTTGCTTCACATTCCGTGGCTTCTTGGCTTAAAGCATGTTTGGTTCCTGCAGAAGCAGTGTGGCCGAAGAGAAAAAACTCCGTAGCACTATGGCATTCCAAAGTGGAGACGCCCAGGCACAGTGCCCACGGACGGTACAATGTGCCATGCTGTGGTAAGAGGAATCCTTTTATATCCTTTTATTGTCTCATGTTCCGTTTGCAAGGGTTGATTTTGACGTGAACAGTCAGAGAGCATGGGCTGTGTATGGTCTTGTTGGGTATGATTTCAACTTGGTGTTGCGACCGGACCGTTCCCATCGCATTCATCAGCAGCATCATTCTGTTGATGGGATGTATGGTCAGGTTGCTTGTGTAAGGCTGAATATGTGAGCTAGGCAGCTAGACTCGTTTTCATTTGAGGATTTTGAGGGTCTCCCGGTGTTGGTGTGTGCCTTCAATTCAGACATTCAGCTTGACAGCTGAGCCACAGCTTGGACAGGTCAGCAAGTCAATGCCTTTCCCACCACCAACTCGATCCAGGCACGTGTCGTGTGTCATTAAAGTGAACACCAACAGCTGAACTCTCGGTTACCATGTTCCGCGTATATATTGCAGAATGCCCACGATCTGCCGGAGGGACCTACTTGTACAGAGTCCTTTTGCATTAACGACCTGTGACTAGCCTTTCCGTTCCATGCCGTCGCGTTTCTGCTTAGCCATCGATGCACCTGCAGGAGCACTTCGGTGGGAAGCTCTGAAGAGAACCTGCAGCTTGGCGCCACAAGATCGTGAAGATGTCAAAGATAGCCAGGGTGACGTATATGATGACGTAATATGACACATACGATCCCAAAGTGCAACCAAAAGTATTGTCATATAATATGTTATCAACTAATGATACGAGATGTTATAGACTTTTAATTTCAGTGACTCTGCTTAGCCTAGCTTTCAGTCTCCAGCTGGTTTGGGTTTCGGACGAGTTGTGAAGGCGTGAAGATGATCGCACAAGTCCTCGGTCTCTTCAATATCCCTCCTTATTGGATGCTAAAACAAAGGGACAGGACCGTCGTTTTTAAGCGACAAAATCCTTGGACTGATCTTGAGTGATAGAATGATGTGGAGAATGGACTATGTAGGACTTGCTGATCTGTCCCCTGAGTAAGACTTGGGCGCGGGTCCAGGAGGCAGAAGTCAAGGCAACATGGCCAAAGTCATCATCAGGCACGTGGCAAGGACTCTTTCTTGAACCCGGGGCTTTGGCCTCGCACACGTCATGTGCATTCGCCAGGTGTTTTGGGCCTCCCTGACATCGAGTACCCTTTGCCCTGGCAACTCACCGGCCATGTGCGAGAGACCATGTCCTGCCCAAGCAGTGAAATCGGTGCGCCACCGGGTCTCGAACACCTGGGAATCCCTGTGTTGCCAAACTCCTCCCCTGCGAGCATGGTTGAAGTGGAACCTCCACCAGGCTTGCGTGAGCAGTCCATTGAGCTGGACTGTGGTGACGGTCGTCAGATTCTGATCCCGACGGTGCACTCCAATGTGCCACCACCCCCAGCTCACTCGCCCACCTTGCCAGAGTCTTTGAAATTCGACCTCTGGCAAGGCCCGATGGGCGCGATGGACCTACCTGATGTGCCCCTGCCACTCTTGGCGAGTCTGGGCTCTTTGAATCATGGAGTTGGCACTTGCAAGCCTTGCGCCTTCATACATACAAAGGGATGCTCAAGTGGGGCTGACTGCACCTTCTGCCATTTGTGCCCACCTGGCGAGAAGAAGCGCCGGGCTAAGATGACAAAGCAAATTGCCAAGATGGTAGATGGAGCGGTGTCTTGTGGAAATCAATTGCTTCCGTCCGCTGTGTAGTATGCGGATGTATATAGACAGACACTTGATTCTAATCCCTCATGTACAGCTTTGAAGGGATGCTGCTTTCTTGGCTTGGATCGCTGTCGGGCATGCATGAGAAGGGCGCTAATGATTAATTACACTTGATCACATCAGATTCGATTCTGATTTAGGGCTTTGAATTATATATAAAATATATCAACCACAAGCGGTCAACTTAGACCAAGATTAGCCAATGTGGTAGTCGCCTTTGAGCGTGACAAGGCCAGAGAACCTAGAGAAAGCTCTTGTGCAAGTTCTTCAGCATTGGCATCCTAGAGCGAGGCATAGTTACGTTTGCTCGGTTATGTTTGTGAGCTCCCAGATCGTTTGAGTGTTATTTGTAGTTCTTGAACACCTGCCCAGCTCACTCTAAAGCTGCGAGCAACAGCTCTTGTAGCTGGAAGGATGCCAAAGGTTCCAAGCTGACGCGGGCCGGAGTGCCTCGCAGGAAGGCACACGTCATTATGATCTACGTTAATCTGCACTGCGCAGTACTCTTCCGCATCGGACTGTGACACAGACTTGCGGTGATTTCCCCTGCCATTGTTTGCAGTGGTATCGGTTGCAGCTGCCTGAAGCGGATATGATATTGTTCAGAAGTCAGAAGTGCTTTTAGGTCATATATGTTCATTGAGAATTGCACATCTAGACTAGCAATTTCAGTACCAAGTTTGCTCAAGCCCTGATACTTTTAGTTTGGGCGAACAAGCGTGTTGACAGACAAGTATCGCGAGACCACAGGTTCATCATCTCTCAGGCAAACAGCCAACAGCCAACAACATTGGATGGATGGAGTATCTCAGTCTCAGACTGCTATGAGATTTCAGAGGGAGGTGTTTCCAGTGTGCACATAAGTTTACACTCCCGAAAACTAACATAGACCTGACAATGGCCCCCTGGAAGAGTGTTTTCCTCTACCAACCAGTGGTTTTCAGAGTCCATGTTAGTCTTCCAGGGTGTAAATACTACAAATCTACATGTGAGGCTTCTCAAGTAGCATTTGGTCGAAAGAGGCAGTTCAAGAATCAAACCAAGCCCAAAACATTGAAACCCAAACACATGTTTAAACAAACACTTCTCACTTGTCACCACATGTATCCTGCTTAGCTTCAGCTCAGGACCTGTCCATGGGTCCAAACGTTTTGCTTCCTGTGTTTTTTGTGGATCAGACCTTTGCTTCCTGCCATTGCTCTCGCCATGCTTTGTGTGATACCCTGACGCTTCTCCCTTCAGAAACTCAAAACAACTGCAGAGATTGGCTGTCCCCAGAATTTGGTTCTTCCCAGATTTGGTTCTGTATTTAAAGTTTCCTTTGGAACATAGCAACCCCTTTTGAAACTGGATTTGTTTGACATGTTCCTGAATGAAATGTTGTTTTTAAGAAAACTGCATGCCGGCCGGTTTTTAAGCAACATACCTTCCTGCCTGTGGGTGCATTCTTGCAACTTGACACACACACACACACGATTCGGCACCACCCAACTACCTTGACCTGCGTTTGTTTGAAAAATTGGTTGAAATCATTTATATAGGTGCAGGTATTTTATTTAAGGGGTTCTGTTTGAAAGCTGTGCCTTTTTGTGAAAGACTTCCTTTTGGATTTATATAAATTGAATTCAGACACATTTAGAGAAGCAACCTTCCTGGGAGGCACGAGGTATTGTTCTTGAAATAGGCTTCTTCCAAGCTACGCCATTCTCAAAAGACATCACTTCCTTTGCAATTGCATCGGAAGTTTTGCACGATGCATTTCCTTGAGGGTAAGCACTAGTTCTTGCATGTTCTTTATAGAAAGCAAGCGGGTTTGAAGCATCAGTGTTTTATTTGTTCAGTTGCTTGGAAATCTGTCCCCCACCAAGCTGGCACTCACCTGGGCAACATGGCATTGAAGAATGTTGCCCCAGAAGCATCTCACATGCTGCATTTAAAAAAAGAAAAAACTATACAAATTGTTCCGCAAAGAATACTTTTGCAAAGATGAAGGCTTTACTTAAAGAACATCCTTTGCAAGAAGAATACGTGTTGCAAGGCTGAAGGCTTTACTGTACATAAATTCACGAAGGAGCAAGCCTGTGACACAAGAAATGTGTTCATACAGGAGCAGTAGATTCTTGATTCAACATTGTATTGCACATATTGAAAGCAGAGTTACCTTGAAGGCGGGCAGGTATCTCTTAGAAGCAACTGGTTTTGCAGCACGTGAAGCACGTGCAAAGCATAGGTCCCCGAGCCAAAATTGAATCCACCAGGGTACCATTGCATTGAATATTTCTTGCGAAATGTCTCACATGTCGCATTAAACAATAACTACATGTAGTGTTATGCTGCCAAACCAAGACTACTTGTGTACAGATGACGGATTACTGGAAGAAGCATGCTTTCTGTAACAAGAAGAGTTTTCCAATACCAGGGCTTTACTTAAAGAACATGTGCCACTGCAAAAACAATACTTTTGCACAGCTGAAGGCTTTACCAAAAACTCGATTAAGTGGGAGTACACATGTGATAAAACGGTTATTTTTCTATGTATAAATATATAGAGATGTGTAGACTGACCCTTCATCAATATTTGCTGACATGTGCCTGTGGAGAATCGATTCTTCTTCTGACATCTTCCTCTACATCTGTCAGACTGTGAAAGGGCACAAGCTCATACAAGCCACATGGACTTTGTCCACGACACATGTCAAAAAAAGCACAACAACATAGTGAAATCACTAAAAAACTCACGGCCCCCGTCTCCGTGTCTCTCTCTCTCTCTCTGTTTTGATTTCCTCCATTATTTCCTGCGGCGACACTCAAAGTATAATACGTATAGTCTTATAAGTCTTTAATTAACAGTTGCTGGTTCCCCCAATTCATGCGTGCAGCTGGGCCAGCTGCCTTGAGGCTGGGCTGACTTGCCATATTTAAAACAGCCTCGATGCAAGCAATACCTCTGTCGCTGGTAGTGCTAGGAACAGCCCCGGACTCATTTGCAGCTCCTGTCTTTGTCGACAACTGCTGGGGACCATATAAAACACCACATCTGCTTGCTGTTTCCCAAATGAGGGTGCGTACCTGTGATGCATTGGCAATGCTGCAGTTGAAGAGAGGCCTATATACTGATTGTTTTTGCGGACCAGCCACGGAGAGCTGGCTCCCGCACTTTGCTTGGTTTGTGCAGTATGCCTGGGTGCCAGGTTCAGACTGGCCACGCGAAGCATGAACGTCCAGTTTCAATCATGTTATTTGCGTACTTCAAAGCCTATCCGTTGTTGCGGCTGATGGACTGTCGACAGTAGAGTCCTCGCTTGCGGCATTGCCTCTAACAGTTCTAACATCAAGAAATTAGAAAAGTATGTCAATAAATATCACATTGACTTGACATGTTTGAGATATTGATATTTCCCCTTTTACCCTTTTGGAGGCTTGACTTGACGGACGGCCCTGTTGTAGCGCATGGCACAGACCATAGATTTCCTGGCTTTCAGCCCAAAAGAGTGTTAGTTTGGCGGATGTTTGCTTGTCGGACAAGGTTTTTGATTGCAAGAACGTTTGAACGCACGGATTCCTAACTTGAAGGTCATGTGATCATTGTGATACCTGGTGGCTCCAGATGGGAACAGTGGGACGGTTGTAGGAGCTCAACTGGGCATGGCAGTCTCAAACTTGTCGCAACTACAGAAGTTTCAGGCCGAGGCGAGAGACACCCCGGCTGGAGGTGGGCGCTCTCGGAGCACTTCGGTGGGTAGCTCGCAGAAGAGTCTCCCAGGTGCATGGGCGAGCCCACCTGAGAAGAGTGCTGCTTGCAGCTCCAAAGGTGAAACTCGCATGGAGATTGAAATGGCCGATGTGCTTGATGTCCTTGGTCTCCAACAGCCTTTGGCTGAGCCTTTGTCTCAGCTTCCTCTTTTCCCCAAGGTCACCACCACCTTTGACGACTTCCTCTCGCCAGCCAATTCCCCGCGTGGGTCTGATGCATCTTCACCAGTCGCTCCTCCAGGCTTGACACTCGATCCCATTCAAAGCCAAATGGCACAGCCTGCCATGGCTTTTTGGGAGACATTGGAGCCAGCTGCGCCAATGGCTCCAGGCGCTGTTTACCCTGAAGCAACGCCATGGCCACAGCCCAACTACGTGGCGAGTGGTGTGCCCTCTGTGGGTTCGGCGAGTCATGGCACAGGCCAATGCAAGCCCTGCGCCTTCCATCACACCAAGGGATGCGCCTGCGGCACGATGTGTACATTTTGCCACCTTTGCCTTCCAGGGGAGAAGAAGCGCCGCCAAAAGGAGAAGCAACAAGCTGCCAAGGTTGGATACTTGGGGGGGTGAGTGGAACACAACTCACCTTGCACAACTTTGAGTCATGACATTGCCACGTAACTCACAACACAAGCAGTGTCATGTCTTTGGGTGTCGGGCCAGATATAAAGACATCACAATTGCAAAGAGCATGCGGAGTCGAGTTGTTTTTCTCATTGAGTGACAAGTGCCTTTTCATCGCGGGTGGGACTTGCATAATGGAATGCTGCACCCAATTTACGCGGCGACCAGGTGACATACTTTGAGTGTGTCGCTGTTTCAGGGGTGCTCTCCATAGTTGGTGGTATTCATGGTCAATCAATGCCAAGCTTAGCAGGATAGCAACACACCATCCGGGCAATTTTTAAGCTACGTTGGAAAATATCATGGGGAGGACACAATTGAGGCGTTTGTGTTGATGTGGTACGTTGTTCTAGAGTAAGCTGCACTGGTGGGATTCTCAGCTGTGGAGGCCAAAGCAAAGACTCGGGACCTGAACTGAGCGAAACATGAGCTGAAAGAGCTGGACAGGTGCTCTTCAGCGGAAGTAGGTGCCGTTTCACACGGAAAGAGTTGGCCACCTCACCGAAAAAAAGTGAGACTGAGATCATCGAAGACGTATACGATACCATTTGATACCTACTCATACCTAATTCCTGAACCATCAGATGCTTAGTTGTTTGCTGAAGATGATCGAGTGCGTGGTTAGCGTTGGCACGCTTTTTGTCATGCAGCTCCCGAAATTCGTGGTGAGAGTGAGGTGGCTGAAAGGTCCGCCAAATCCATGCAGAGTATTTATCGACATGGATTTGTCAAAGGTGGCTGGCTAAGGAAAAACTTGGCATCATAAGAACATATCCCAGTCCAGGCCGTTTTGTAGCGATGGCCTCCAACCCTCTCAACCTACCTGGCATCATAAGAACTTATCCCAGTCTAGGCCGTTTTGTTCTAATCTGGCGACCATTTTGAAGAAGCGAGACTTATTGAGTCATAGTTATCGTCGCAACACAGGCGACATCGCGATTTAGCCAGGTCATTTGCAGCTTGACCATCTCATTTGCTAAGTTACTAAGACCAATAAGAGAGCACTGAGCATCACTCGGTCGCAAAGAATGACCTGGCACAAGTGAGTAGCCCAAAGAGGAGGCACACTACTACGCCCAGATGGAGTTATCGTCGCTGGGGTTTAGAAATCCAAGTGAGGTGGGACGGGAGCGAATGGGAGTGAAGCAGGATTGTTTATATATATATATACATATATATATATTGTTTATCTGTTTCATGCTGACAGTAGTTAACACTTATCCCAGAGCGGCGGAAATCTTTGTGCAGACTCCGTTTATTCTCGCGCCGCGATGTGGTGCCTTTTTTTGTCTAGAGTCTACATGTTAGAATAGTTTGCCCCACGCTCCATGACTGGTACATGTGGTTTTGATTCACTTGCAAGTCAGTTTTGAGTGTGGGATGGTTTGCATGCTTCAACTGGGTCCGTGGCCAACTCTCCTTGCTGCAGCTTTGGCTTCAAAGAAGCAGCCCTGCTCATGGTCTCAGCATTTGCAATGTGGGGCCGCTTGTCAGCACCTGAAGTGTGTCACCATACAACCTCGAATCAGACAAGCTTGGTCAAGGACGTTTTCATATTGAATGTGTGACTGGGGGTTCAATGGTTTCATTGCTTTTTCTGTACAGGTGCATCAGAGCCGAAGGATGTAAGCCCTGCCTCGACAAGATCTGGCAGCACCAGCTCTCCTTCCTGGGGCACCCCTGTGCAACACGCCTCGCAGTCATTCGCAGTCGTGATATGATATGATATTACTATATACCATAGTTTTGCCTTGATTCACATCTCACATAAGTGAAGTCGGCCTGAAACTGGCGTCAAGCTTAGGTGTCCAGAGGCATGGGCGCTCGGTGACGGCATACCGCAAAAGGTGCTATCGCCGGCCTACTTGTCCTATTCACCACCCAGCATCGTCAGAGAGCCCGGACGACTGGACGCAACACGCGAGCCAGCCTTGGTGACGGCAATCCGCCCTCCACCAGGTTTGGAGCATCTTGATGCTTCGGCATCGCCCCTACACCTCCCCTCACCTGAGCCCTTGGGCCCCTTGGAGGCTTTTGGGTCTCTAGACGCATATCTCAAGGAGTCGTCCAATATTCCAAGCATCCCACCCCCACAGTTCGAAGCCCCTCGTCTCGAGTTGAAGGAGACGCCCCCGGCACCCCATCAAGAGCCTTGCCTGCGGCTGGCCTTGCTACAATACTTGCCCAACACGGAGCCAATACCGATCCATGACAAAACCTCTTGCAGACCTTGCGCCTTCTTCCACACGAAGGGTTGTGTCTCGGCAAGAAGTGGTTCACATTTTGGCTACGAGTTTTTGCACAATTCCCGAGGCCAAAATGGCACACAATGTGAGTTCTGCCACATTTGTCCTCCCGGTGAGAAGAAGAGACGTCAAAAGCTTCGGCGCAAGGTTGGGGTTCGTATGTGTTGTGATTGTGCTTCATTGGATTCCATTCAAGCGTCCACGCAAGCGGGAAGAATCTGCCTTCCGTCTCTCTATACATTCTATATGGCCATTTGTTCAAAGTGCATCACACTACACAAGCCCCTGAGTCACAAAGTGAAGCTTCTTGTGCCCGTGACTGTGGATTCAGAATCCCAGAAACCACGAATTCCTTGCGAAGGATGGCAAGATCAAGATGTGAATAGAGGATTGCCGCCTCCTCAAAAATCAAGTGCAAAGTCTCCCTTGTCGCTTTGAACAATGCAGGATTAGTTAGAGCATTGGTGCGACTCTTTGTGTGCCTCGCTTGTGGCTGAGCATCAGGAGTGGAGTTAGCGACGCAATGGCCATGGCCAAGCCTCTGCTGTGAGCAGTGAAGGGCTGCACTGAAGGAGTATGTGTGAAGCTATGCGAAAAACTGTTCCGAAAGTAGCGGTATGAACCGTTCAAAGAACAGCTTATGATGGGTGCAAAGTGGTACACAAGCCCAGGTGACACCATGCCTGACCAGTGCTTGCCAATGTCAAAACATGAGTAAAGCATGCTGGTACTGGCAAGCATCATGGAACATCAGAGTGGTGAACCAACTTTCTAGAGAACTGTGTTGGTTGCTTTTAGTTGAGAGCCCGAAATCAGTTTGTACCCTTGCACTGATGCTGTACTGATGATGCTGTTGACTCGAAGAATGCCGTTCGTCCCATCAATGAGGGTCACTGTAGTCAAGAGTCGCATTGTATGGTTAATTGGCCACCATGGAGAGTGGGGGGCTGGTTCTTGGGAAACGGTTGATTCGATGCTCTTACTCAGCAATCAGAGGCGACAATTACGGGTTGTATGATGTGACGAAGGCTGGAGACAAATCGTGATCACAACAGGATTTTCCCTTTAGATCACATGACTCTGTCTGGAGACAAGGCACCTGCTCGGCAGAAGTGTTGTACAGTTTTGCTGCATGAAGTCATTTTCCCCCAAAATAAGGAACACCTCATGTTTTGCTGTGTGCTAGATAGAAGCTGAAGCGTAGCCAGTCGTCCAGACCTGAGTTCATGCTGGCCTTCCCTGACCAGAAATTTCACTTTAAACACGAAGTCAGCTCATTCTGGCAGTGGGAAAACTGGTAACGGTCAGGGGGGGGCACGAATTCAGTGCCGTTCGTAGCTAGGACTTCGGGCAAGCGCCAGAGACTTCGTATAGATATCCTTGCTAGCTGAGAGTGTTGGCAAAGCCACCTCCGGACTTTTTTTGGACCAACATGGTTTTATAGCTCAGTCAGACATGCTGCAAGTGCAAAAGATAGGCAAGATTGCAAAATCCAACAGAGAGATCATCGGAAAATCCGTGAGAATCCACAAAAGCAATCTTTGCAGAGCTATCGGCGTGCAGTATGCAATGTTAACGGCAGCAGTGAAGATCACTTGCGCCACGTGCTGCTTTGAACGATGTACTGTTGCAGCACATTGAATTTAGCGCTATACTATACATTCGTTCAATTCCTGCATGGCTGTCAAAGATTGAGGCGCTCTGTGTGTATGTGTCTGTCAACCCCTGAGGATTCCTTTACTTCAGCAGGCTGATTTTTCATGCAAGTAAGTACCAGCCCAACGAAGAGGCTTGCACACGTAAACAAAACTGTTTGGCCGACACTTTCCCCTTTCGGTTCCTCACAGGGCTGTTTCTGCAGGTTCAGGTTCCCAGCGCTCTAATTGTACAGTAACTTAAAGTGCTAATGCATCCGTAATTCAGTGTTTGATTGAATGTTGCAACCATACATCATACATCCTGAATACTACATAATACTATATAATACTACATGTTGAATTGACACTTTTTTGTTTGGGATGTGCGGAGTGCCAGGGAGCCTTTCTCCATTCCAGGGCCTTGCTTGTGAAGCTTTTGGGCACGGCTTACATTTCTTTGGCTCACCTCCAGTAGCTCAGACTGGACCAAATCCCTTGGCACTTGGCTCCCCGAAAGCAAGTGGAGGGACAATAATTGTAAGGGCTCCGCCCCCCTGCCGCCGACCCCGGGGATCTATATTTCAGCCGTGAAGCTGGAAAACAGGACAGAAGTCCGCCTATACGCAACGCAATAGATCAATTCAATTGTTCTTTTATATATAAAAGGAGATTTCCCCCCATTGAGGTGTGAGTTAAAAAACATTTGGGTCTTAACATGTCATGTACAGGTGGTTGATGGTGATTGTATTGTCAGTGTTGCAAGCTGTGCCAAGCTCTTTTCAGCGCGTTCGCTCAAAGTCCATCATCCTAAGCTGGACTCGGCCACACCATCACACAGGAATCATTGTATTGGACATTCAGCAGTGTTTGAAAAATTTCAGTGTGGAGCTTGTTGGTAAAAGGGCGCAAGCCGCCTAACCAGCTTCAAAATCAAGGACAAACATCCTTGTCCATCCAACGAATCCCTTAGATCAGCCTCACCACTGCTCCCTGAGCAAGATCTAGATCAGACTTCAAAAAATAGAGCGGCTTGCCTTGGATAAAGACACGGAGCCACGGTACACGACACTTTTCAGCCACGGACACGGAGCCACAGCTTTCCACAATCTAATTCGAGACCAAAAATCGCCCGAAAG